TAGTCATTGATAAGCAAATTTTGAATATGATCTGCACTCCAAATTGGATTTTATTTATTTTCTTAAATGTAATTTTTTAACCAAAGAAATTTATTCTTTTGACTATAATTTCTCAAGTAGATATATTTACTTTTATATTAACCAAGTATTGCACTTTCAAAAATTCTTAATGGATTCGCGATATCGATTGTGATCGCGATGTAATGAATTCGGATAAAGTCAGTATAAATTGGTCGATACGAATTGCGTATCGAACTATGTACATTATCAACGTGAACCAACAAATTAACATTAAAGAAAATGATTTATTTTTGGAACATTATTGCTTTAGGAGACAACATTTTGATGTTTTCCTAATACCATTGCACCATATTTGTCACTCCATAATGCATGGTGAAACGGAAACTGTTTAAAAGTGCTTTTTAGAAGAAAAGTTCAAGCAATATAAAAACACTATATATAATGTAAAAAGTACCTTTACAAATATAAGATTTATGTAATAATTTTGGGCCCACAGTTTTCTTTGTAATGAATTAAGTGTTGCACAGTTTTTATAATTAGGTCCCATTTTGAGCATATAACAATGTCATAATGACATTTAAACTTTACTCAACATAAAAGTGCAAATAATAGACTTAAATAAGCTACCAACTACCAAAAGGTCAAATCTTAAAAGATCATATACATGACCTTTATGAAATTGGTTTTTGTTTTCTCTTTTTTCATTATTATTTTAAATTCATTTTAGGATTTAATTTGAGGGAGTTAATGAAAATTGGATCAAGGATTCTGTCAAGGGGTACAACCATAGTAGTTCATTACTAAAACTACTAATTTAGCAGAAAGAGTAACTTAGACGTAGGCTCGTTTGTTTCGAATGTTACCTAAAATATTTGTTTTTGTTTTTATTTTTATTTTTTAGTATTTGACAAAGGTTTAGGTTGAAATTGAGGTCAAATTCATCGGTTGGAACTTATAAAATGACTTGTCTAAAATTGATAAATAAATTATTTTTGTTAGATTTTGATATATTTTTTCTTCGTAAATATTTTACGACAACCAAACACTAAAAAACACGAAATATAATTTTCAAAAAATATTTTATACCAAAACAAACAGAGCCGTAGTAGTGAGATTAGACGCTACCATTGGCCAGCTAGCCTAGTGAGAGGTTCCTAGCTTTAGAGGTGAGAGAATCAGATGTATGCAATTTTTTCTTTGTTTTAATATCCAAGGTATCCGAGGCTTTGCCTCACCTAATCCATGGGACCGTGTAAGGCTCTCCACTCTCACGCAGATCGGATAAGGATCGGACTATGTCTACGGGTGTAGCTCCAAACGAATTGTTTGTACCTTTAAGAAATTGAACTTGAGACCTGAAACTTTATGAAACGTCAGAATCTAAGTTTTTTCTTCTTACTAGGCCAACCCTTTGAGATTAGATATATAAAGTCTTAATTCTGTTTGAAGAGACTATTTTTAATTTTAAACTCGTGACATTCAAATCACAATATAACTGTTCACACTAAAACGCTAACATTGCCTCTGAAGATATAAACCACTATGTGAAAATAGGTGTAAATTGCCCAGGTCATCAATGCAATAGTCCATTTTGAAACATATTAATCAATAAAACGTGTCATCTAGTCACCATACATATCCCACAAAGAGTAGAGACAGCATAGAAAATTATTAAAAAGAAAGAAATAAAAAGAAGTGGGAAAAGGAAAATTCGATTCCATTTAAGACTACTAATGTTGAATTACGTTGCAGATTTGAATGGAATACACTTGTATTAATATATCAAAAGTGTCTACAGTTCATGGCATACTGATTCTTTGGAGGCTCTTCATTTCACATGCAATTCACGTATGTTATTTATGATTTTGAAATAAAATTCAATTCGACCGCTGTTACAAAACTATCACAATCAGCAAATATTATCATCATGAATCAAAACATTTGAATGGCAGTATTCAATTTTTGTACGCAGCAGTTCAATGTAGAAATTTATCATCATGAATCAAAACATTCGAGAAATGACAGAAACTCTTTACCAACCTTTGACTTGGATTCTCATTTGTGATGGCAAACTGCAAACAACCTTAAGCCAATCAGGCACAAAGAGTAACAAGTAAAAACATCATTTTTTTTAAGTATAAATTGTAATTTCAATTATATCTAAAATTATTATGAAAATAATTGAGGTTTTTTTTCTTTTGGGTAAATTACACTGATCTATTTTGATGTTTGGACAAATTATACGCCAGTAGGCTGTTCAAGATTTACTACTTTGATCTCTTAAGATTTGACGCATGTGCTCAACCCTTAGTGTTTGTTTTCTTTCTGACAAAGCTGTTGAATTTTTTTATAAAATGACAATTTTATCCTTCATTTCTATAAAATGAAATATAATATATTATTATAATATAAATTATTGATTTTCATATTCAAAGTTACTTTCTACCGCCAACGAACAAATTTAGATGAGGTCAAGTAAGTAAACCTCAGAGGAGACTAAAATCATAAAATAATAATAATAAAAATAAATAAATAAATAAATAAAAACCTCTCTTATTTTAAAAAACTATCAACTAACCCCTTCAACTAAAGAAACTATCATAATACCCCTTGATATTTTAAAAAGTCTATCATATTACTCCCTCCCCGTTAGTTCCCGTCTAAAACTAATGAGATCGTATCACGTGCAACACTTGCAAAATTTTGTAGACCAAAATAACTTTGTAATTCGTAGTAACAAAATTGTCCTCCTCACACTATAATTTCAGTTTAATACAATATTAATATATTATCAAGGGCTTTATTGTCATTTCACAATAACTTAATGGTTCTGTCAATGTGATAATTTTTGATAGTTCAGAGAATTGTTTGATAAAAAAAAAAAAAAAAAAAAATTAGAAATAAGAGAAAAGTTTTATAATTTTAACCCTTTAATTTATTTCGTGCCCTTCTTCTAAATAACCCCGTCAAGACACGACAGAGTCCAACAATAAGATACATTGTGGATTATGGACTTCAAAGAGGCAAATAATGTACATATCACAAACCAAACAACAATAATTTACTCTAATATTGTTTGGTGTCCCTTCTGAGGAAGGTGAAGTCACTTTCACATTATAACTCAATTGTTGGCCTTCACATGAATACAACATTTTAGTTGAATTCAGAAATATATATATATATAATAAGATTGTGAGTATGTGAACCCCATTGAAATATGCTAGTCAAATTTTGAGCTGTACCTAGAGTAGAAGGTTGCCTCCTGAACAAAACAGGAAGTAGTCTTCTCCTTAAAGTTACTTTTCCCAAATGTTCCATTCATATAATTTTGACTTTAAATTTTATAAATTGGATAATCTTGGGAAAGTTCGATCTTGATTCTGGTTCACAAAAGTTATTTTGGCCTAGAATATGATGCTTTCTCTTTTCCATTGAAGTCTAGCTTTCTCATTTGAACACTTTTCAAATAAAAGTAATGCTGTCATTTAACAATAACATGAAAAAGCTCACTTTTTACAATATATGGATTAAGAAGTTCTCTTAAAGGGTCAAGATCATCTCACTTTACGGATCATATTCAAGATCATCATTTTCAATGATGATGGTGCGGAGTCTCTTAGAGAATCTTGTAATTCATCACCGAACACTAAATATATGTAATTCAGGTTGGCCCAAGCGGTCGCCTAGAGCCTCTAATTTGGATGGGGCTTCTCAAAATTTTAGAAATCTTAGAGTCGGCCCAGTATGTAGTTTACTTCTGTTATACGCATCGGAATTTTTTTCCTAAAAAGATATACAAAAGTGATTCAAACTTGATCTTCAAAATGTGATATAGGAGCCTTGTCATTAGACTGTTTATTTGAGGTTATAGTCAGAAAGTAGTTGATCTAACCCTTCTCATTGGTTTTAATTAGTTGTTAAGACAATATTTGTCAAACTGATAATGGTGATTTAAACAACTTTTTCACCTGGTGGGTTCATTACTGGAACCCCCAACTAAACAATAAAATCTTTCAAGAGCTTAGTGGACACGTGGCAGTATCTCTTTGAGAAATAAAATAAAAAATTATTCGGTATTTTAAAAAAAAAGAAAAAAAAAAAAAGAAAAAGAAAAAGAAAAACTTGCACAACAGACTTTAATTTTTCATAGATTCTTGGTTGCTTTTAGCTATAATAATAGTAGTTAACAGTGGTATGTATCTATTGTTATTCCTATCAATCAAAATAATCCAACTTTAGGCATCTGTTTTTTAAGTAGCCAAAGAAGCTTCCATTATTGATTTATGAACATTTTCATATACTTGAACAATATTTTATTGCTAGTTATTTTTCAATGTTTTTTGGTTGTGCCATTATTTGATTAAAATTCTAGTTTATTTTTCAATGGATTTTGATTGTGCCATTATTTGATTAAAATTTTATTCCTCCATCAGGGGCATTTAGTAGTTGAGTTGAGGGTGATGAGTACCCATGATCTAGACTCGCCAACAAATGTCAATATATTTTCCGTCTCTAATAGAAATTTTCTGTGTTTGTCAACATCCCACTGATCCCTACATAAAAATTCTGTTCAGTTTCATAAAAGGAAAAATAATTTTGGTTAAATAACTCATTATATCATACTTTTTTAGTTGGAATTTTTTTAAAAAAATAAGTGTATGGACATCATTTGGAGCTCGTGTTTCCAAACAGGACAAGAGGGGCAAAATATTGTCTATCTGGTTCAATTTTTTAAGACAATTTTATGTTTTTAGAACTGATTATCAAAAAGCTGTACAAAAACCCTTCGTGGTTCAATTTTGTGAAAACTGTTTTTTGAAAATTCAATTATAAATTTTTTTCCTTGAAAACTGTTTTAGAAAACTGTAATTTCAAGATAACATGAGCTTCTATAAATACTCTTACAAATGCTAAGCTCCTATGCAATATAGTTACCAAATGCTAAGCCTTATAAGGTCTTTGTAAAAGATCTTACGAGATTGAAGCAAAACCTTATAATATAGATGAGCTAATAAATAATTGTTTACAAAAAATAACAACAAACAATAAAAGAGCAGTGTGCAACAAAACAAACACTCTGAAGAAGTACCAACTGGTCCAACAATGGTTGTAACATCCCTGACAACAACTCTAAACAAGAATACTTTAAAACTACCCCATTATTCTGCATTCACCAAATCAGAGGTATGACCTAAATTTAAACACTTAGAAAAGGTCACCTTCCTTGTGAGTGTGAATCACACAATCTGAAGTCGGATAGGCAACGCAAGTCAACAAATAACCTTCCTTCATCTGATTGTCGTCAAGGAATGATCCATCAGACTGGTCGACGGAACCTGACTTCATCTGCCCGGCACAGGTGGAGCATGCACCAGCTCTGCAAGAATAGGGCAGATCAACCCCCGCACTCTCCGCTGCGTCTAGGATGTAAGTATCATCAGGAGCATCAAACTCATTCTCTTCGCCATTTGGTCCAATCAACTTAACCTTGTAAACAGCCATTGCGGATGCTCTAAAACCGGAAGAAGATTTCAAGCCAAAGACTTTAGAGATGCTTTTCACAGATCCTAGAGAGGATGGGCTCCTGAGAAAAGCACGGGCCGTTTGGCTCTGGGGTGCACTTCTGACTACGCAATGGGAGGGAAGTCTCATGGTTGACATGTTTACCTAGTAAACAAAGAAGCAAAATAAGGCTAATACACCAAGTGACAAAGAAAAGCAGCAAATTAAGGCTAATTCACCAAGTGGACACTGGATCTTGAAATATGGTCCTCACATTGTATAAATTAACTTAGGCCACACACGAGTGGGAAAATGAAAAGGATTCATGCAGTTCACAAATATGAAATACTTGTGGAAATGAAGTTCTCAACAATAATCTTCCTATGCCTATACTCCTGTGTAGGGCATGTTGACAATAAAAAATAAAACACATTTCCATAGCATTCAACACCTCAAAATGATGAGACAATTAATGTTCTGAATTATATATATATATATATATAATAAATAAATAAAAAATTGACAAATGGCTTTCTTTCACTCTTGGACTGTGCTTCCAAAAACCTTAACTTAAAGGCTAGATCATTTCTTAGAGCCAAGAGGGTGGTAAAACTGATTCTACCATTACAATGTTGCCTAGTCACAACTGACAAAAAATAGAAATTAAGAATCTATTTCTGTAAAATGAAGGCAATAAATGTCTGGAGCACTATGAGAAGAAGCAAGCGGGTGGCTCTCTGCTCTTCACTCGAGTCTCCAAATTAGACCAACGATCGAATTAAAGAGTCTATTTAATTAAAGAGCAGAACATAAGATATTGTGCAGTTGCTGATTGTTCAGACAAGATGAAAAGCCACCATTTCATTCATCTAAAGACCAATGCTATGTGTATAACTTGTATTACTAGGATAAACAAAGTACGATTGTGCAAGCAATTGCTTGGAATGCTACCCAGTGCAATGAACTACTATTCTCTACAATTCCACACAGTACAATGAACTTGTTACACATTTCCATGGCATCCAACACATCAAAATGGTGAGATAAATAATGTTCCAAATTTATGAAAAATTGACAAATGGCTTGCTATCACTCGTGGACTGTGCTTCCAAATACCTTAACTTAAAGGCTAGATCATTTCTTAGAGCCAATAGGGTGGTAAAACGGATTATACCATTACTATGTTGCCTTGTCACAATTGACAAAAAATAGAAATTAAGGATCTGTTTCTGTAACAAGAAGGCAATAAATGTCCGGAGCACTATGAGAAGAAGCAAGCGAGTAGCTCTCTGCTCTTCACTCGAGGCTCCAAATTTCACCAACTATTGAAAATGGCCCTATACTATATTGTAATAAAAGAGTAGAGCCTAAGATGTTGTGTAGAGGTTGATTGTTCAGACACAATGAAAAAACACCATTTCATTCATCAAAAGACCAATACTATGTTGTATAACTTGTATTACTAGGATAAACAAAGTACAACTGTGCAAGCAATTGCTTGGAGTGCTACCCAGTGTAATGAACTACCATTCTCTACAATTCCACAAGGTACAATGAACTTTTTATACATTTCCATAGCATCCAACACCTCAAAATGGTGAGTTAATTAATGTTCCAAGTCATATGAAAAATTGGCAAATGGCTTTCTTTCATTCTTTGAATGTGCTTCCAAATACCTTAACTTAAAGGCTAGATCGCTTAGGGCCAATAGGGTGGTAAAACTGATTATAGTTATACCATTACTATGTTGCCTCGTCACAATTGACAAAAAATAGAAATTAAGGATCTGTTTCTCTAACAACAAGGCAATAAATGTCCAGAGCACTATGAGAAGAAGCAAGCGAGTGGCTCTCTGCTCTTCACTCGAGGCTCCAAATTACACCAACTATTGAAAATGGCACTACACTATATTTTAATAAAATAGTTGAACCTAAGATGTTGTGTAGCGGCTGATTGTTCAGACACAATGAAAAGCCACCATTTCATTCATCTAAAGACCAATAACATCTTATATTACTAGGATAAACAAAGTACAACTGTGCAAGTAATTGCTTGGAGTGCTACCCTGTGCAATGAACTACTATTCTCTACAACTCCACACGGTACAATGAACTCGAAGCATCTTCACCGGAACTCAATTTAACAGAGTTCAAACACCATAGGCTTTACATAGAGATTTTGTAGCATACAATTCCTATCAAAATGAAGTGAAATGAAATATATTCAAGTTTTAGAAATCTCAACCTCAATACAATAGGATGGTTATAATATTACATACTGTTCCTCTTACTTGACTTTTCAGTTGAGAGTAAGGAAATTTCAAAATCTTGGAGCTGACAAAGAGAAATTTAAGTGTTCTAAAAAAGAGTATAGTCTAAAACACCTGCTTCTAATCAGAAGAAAGTTAATATTTAGATTCAACAACCAACTTGAGATGAAGGAGCTCTAAATGGGTAGGTAGCACTCAGCAGGGAGCTCAAGCCAGAATGGGGAGTGTGATGGTGGTAAGGTAGGACAAGTTGCTTAAGTTGCATTCAAAAGCATGAATTCTGCGCCTTGGAATTAGAATCGAAGAAATTAATTTAACATCCTGAACTAATTTTTCTTCCAATTCCAAACTACCAACCACAACTTTAAAATTATCATCTTCAAACAAAAATATTTAAAAAATTATAATCCCAAATGCAGTAAATTTTGGAATTAACATATAAGAAACTTTGACTATCAAACGAAATAATCAGCACATGTTTTGAGTACATGAAATTTCTACAAAAATTATAAATTTCACGAAAACATGTAACATCCAAACGCATCCTCCATGGATCACCAAATGAAAGCACACACAATCACACACTCATGCATGTACAGTTGCATACATGTTCATGTTTCCTATCAAGCTCTAGAACAAAACAAGAGATATAGATATACAAGAGAAATAGATATACATACAAAACAAGACCGTACAAGAGAATATAAACATACTCTTAAAGCAAGAACAGATCGAGAATAGCATGAAAATATATTCAAGAATAGGACATGAAAATCTTACAGATAGATTTGAAGACGATTTGAGGGAGCCCAAAGCCGAAATTTGGAGGAGCACAAGCTAAAGGAGACTCGAACTCCTTATATAGAGAGAGAATCTAGTGAAGTTTTGAGAGAGAGAGAGAGAGGAGAGGTGCCTTTTCGCATCTGGTGAGAGTCAAAGAAGATGCCCTAGTTGCCAAGAGCCAAAAGTCGCCAAAAGTCCAACCTGCTTCGCCCTCAGTGGACTGGTGGCTTTTGCCACTTTCCTTTTTAAACACCATTCAGTCCCCATCCTTACTTTTCTTTACCGTTCCAATATACTGCAGTTTTTTTTTTTTTTTTTTTTTAAGTACAATGGTGAGCTATTTGTTTTGTAATTGAAATTGAAATCCAAAGAAATTTAGTTCAATATCTTAAAAAATATATATTTTATTTTATTTAAAAAGTTAAAGTACTTAAATAAATATTTTTGAAAATGAATAAAATTTTAAATATTATTATTTGATTTTGATCAATTGCATGCTACCTAGTAAGTAAATGTATAAATTTTATTTATTTACTTTATTTGTGTAACACTATATGATTGACGGATGTGATCCCCAAACCATATACAAATTTTCTCATAAAATTCTTGACAAATATTTGTCATTCATTCAATCATTTTATTCGGGTACACTTTTATATTGGCTTAATTGTATTTAACACTCCACATTATTGCTTTATGGCCCACAATTTTATTGAACTATTTTTATTGTTCTCATTAGTTGTTCATTAAATAAGGTAGTGAAATGACTTTATTATTCATTTTTTAGAGAAATATGTTATTAAATATAAAATATATTAATTGTAAAGTTTCAATATAATGGCTTCTATCTTTGCGAAAAAATATAGTATGATTATATGACACCATAATAATATGTTTTCTCTTTAATAACATATTTATCTTTACAACGGACAATATAGTCTTGTCTCTCGGATTGGCAGCCAAGTGAGAAATCAAATCAAGAAAGATGTTTTGTGTAATAAATATTAATAATATTTGGTAATAAAGAGAAGACGAACTTATTCTTTTGGTGTTATTGAACAATTACACACTAAATGATGTTTGTGGGTAGGGATGATAATGGAGGTGGATTTGGGTGGGTGTATTCACTTCCGTTCTTGCAATCGTTTAAAAATTTTGTTCTCGTTCTCGCCCAAAACCGTAAAAACGAGGGAACTTTTTACCCATCCCTATAATCGTTTAATATTTTTACCTCTGCGGGTACCCGCCCAGCCCCATTTAAGACCATAATTTTATTATTGTTGAAATGAATTTGCTACTTTTTTTTTTTTTTTTGTCCCTTTCATCTTCAATTCTTCACCATTACAACTTTCATTTTAATAAAATTCATTTGTTACTTTGATATTGTTATATGATGTACTTAATATATAGTGAAAAATATATATATTAATGAAATAAGGGTACTTAAGTAATTTACCTATCTAAACAGGGCGGGGCGGGACGGTGCAAGACGACCTCCCCCCGCCCCTGCACCAAATCCGCGCAAGTTTTTATTGCATCAAACCATCCTCACCCAAATAAGCAAAACGGCCCCCAAAATCGCTAATAACGAGGCGAGATGGAGCGAGTAACTGAGGGGACGGGTCAAATTATCATCCCTATTTGTGGTAGTATTTTTGTTCATAATATTCTATTCCATTAATGTTTGGTGAATTAATTCAAATCAGAATATTTGATTAAGAAGATAATTTTTCGGGTGTATATTTATATATCGCAAAGAAATCTCAACAATTATCTGGTTTAAAGTAATCCACTGCCTGTCAAATGATTTAGAACCATCTAATAATTTTTCCAAAAGCAAATAGAAGTAGGGGTGTAAAGCCCAGCCCATTAATGAAGCCCAAAACAAGCCTTTATCCCAGCCCATTGAGCCTGTTACAGAGCTATGGTTACCCAATTGGAGCACCAGACAACGACCTGCAGATGGCGGGAAATTAACCTAGATATGCTCTATAGAAACCCCAATCGGCCAATCCCACGACTCTTTGTAGAGTTTTTTAGATCGATCACGAGGAGACTGAGAATCCTCCTGTGTTTATATTTAGAGAGAGAAAGAATTGTAGAGAGAGAGAGGGATATTAGGACATGGCGGAGAAGGAGAAAGTAGTAGCGGAGACGGAGGAGCTACCGAAGGCTATCGTTCGCAGGGTGGTGAAAAATAAGCTCTCTCAGTTTTCTGGCCAAGGTGACATTTCTGTTCTTAGGGAAGCTCTCCAGGCCTTCTCTGAAAGCGCTCGTATCTTCATTCACTACCTTTCCGCCACGTAACCATCTCTCTCTCTCTCTCTCTCTCTCTCTCTCTCTCTCTCTCTCTCTCTCTCTCTATATATATATATATGTAATACACACACAAATATAAATGTCAGTAGTTCGTACTTGTTTCCACAAATCGTTAGCATTTTAGGTATTTGCATTTAATTTGAAAATAATACTATTAAATTCTTTTATTTTCGTTTTTTTCCTGGTTGAGTTGAGTTTAAAGTTTGTGCATTTTCTTATAAGAGTTGGAATCAATTTAATCGGTGTAAATTGACTTATAATCTTAATTTAAGACAATTATTATTGAATTTGATTGATTAAAGTTGAACAGACGTTCAATCTGTTGTTAACCTTGATAATTTGAAGAATGCCCAAATAGGGGTAGAGAGGATGGAGAGAGGCTTATTTTATCAGTATTTGATAATGTGCACTAACTATTGTTGCATAATGGCCATTTACAGGGCAAATGACATATGTAAGGAGTCTAAAAGACAAACAATCAATGCCGATGATGTATTTAAAGCTCTTGAAGAGATAGAGTTTCCTGAATTTGCTGGGCCTCTTAAAGCTTCTCTTGAAGGTCACTAAGTTTCAATATATTAGTTTCTTTTTGTTGACATGTGTATTTAGCTATATGTCCTCTTTTAAAAATGTGAGGTGTGTAATTTCAAATTTGATTGTTTCTAATTCCAGAAATAATGCTATTTTTCTATATCCAGTGAAGAGCCATTCATACACAGATTAGAACCAATAAAAAGTACATCGTCGAAGAGTGTCATGGTAAAACACCATTCAGTCTTTTTGAAGATAGACAACATGACAGCTCAAAGCCACACTTTTTTTTTTAATGATTATTTTCTTTTCATTTTTTCTTTCATCCCCTTTTATATCTTAAGTTATGGCATTTATTCTAAAAAAGATGTGTGAACACGTGAACAAAGCTTACGACAATCCTAATTGATGGTTCTCTTCAGCTCAGTAGCTAGTGATTCTTGAGAATTCTGTACACTTACTCCTCTTCTAGGCTGACAAAAATATTATGGATTGGATGCTAATGTATTATGTATAAATTCTAAAAGCACCAAATTTTGTCCTTATAAGAACATTGGTTCTCTTTTCATAAATATTTTATATTGTTGTTTTGGCATTATTTCTACTTATAGTAATTCTCCTTGGTTTATTCAATTATTGAAACTACAATCTTTTCTAACACAAAATAAAGTTGGAGTTTGACTCAGATCAAATAAGAGGGCTATTGTTTAGTGCAATCGTAAAAGCTCAATGTAAAGGCCTTACATTGGGGCTGCTGATTATTGGATGTTAGTCAATTCTAGCACCCTGTTTTACAAGATGATAAATATAAGAAGTAGTTCCCAACTTCTAGGGGAAAATAGATAAGTTTGAGTATATAGTTGCAATTAAATTCATCTAATGTTAGCAGATTCTTACTTAGTTTTTACTTTTTTTTCTTATCATATGTGACTGTTGATATGCACACAATGAAGTTTCTATATTTGGATTAGTATCAAAAGTTTTAACATCTTGTAATTAGTTACAGAGGGCACAAATTGGGAGGTTCTGAGCGATTGTTTAAATTTCATCCAAGAATGAATAAGATTGGGACATTCCAAAAATTAAGGTATCTAAATTATTGCAAGAACCTCTGCACTCTATAGGATGCCGGTTTTGAGTTTTGTGTTAATCTTAAACCTTTGAAGGAGGTGACCATAGTGTTGAATGGTGATTCTGCTTTGGTAGCTTGAGACAAGGAAGAAACTAGCAACAAATGAGAATTGGAGGTTGACAAAAAATCATGACAGATTTTGGCAACGTTCACAGGACGTGGAAGCTAATATATTGCAAAATAGTGATTTTTAGTGCTCTTCAAACTTGGAGAAAATTAGTTAGGGGCAGAAATAAGAGTTTGGCTGGAGAGGACAAGAATACAATGCTTCTCAATCAGATGAGTAACATGAATAGGTAAAGAATTTGGATGTGGAAGGATAACTGCATGAGGAGGCTAGTGTATGGAAAGCCATAATGAGCTATTGTTGGTCTGCAAATATTAAAGATCATTTATACAGAATGTGTTCGGATAATGTCTGCTTTTATTATCTATGAGCACGGGGCTTGATGTGACAACTTGTAAATATGCACAAATTGCCAAAAGCATTTATCAGATGAACGGTGATGAGACATTAATACCTCATATAGTTCCTCTATTGCATTTGACAAGAAACGTTGGAATGTTCTGAATTTGTCGAGAGGTGAAATTTTGAGGGGCATCTAATCTCTGTTACTATCACATAGTTCCCTGGCATCGTGGGGGAGTTATGAATGAGAACTAGAGATTTGCTGCCAAGTATGGTCGTGATCTTTCAAAAAAGTTTTCTAACGTCACTAATTAATTTGGTGAAGGTGTAGCTTCTGGGTATGAGAACTGTATTAATTGTGAAAGAACAGTTGTTGAGGCTTGCTATAGAGTAATACTTTTGCAACCCTCTTGTACATATTGTGTTTTTAACTTTTTATTAGCTCTACTAGTTAAGTGTTTTTGTCTCCCTTCTTTGGTGGAACTTTCAAGAATGAAAGCAAGTTCTTCATGTTAATAGAGTAGATCTTAAGGAAGAGTATAGGATGTAAGCAACTTCAGAAGTTAGTAACATTTTTTTATTAGTTCTTTCTGTATCCCTAGGTGGTCAATAATAGAGTGTTACATGAGATACTTAATGTTTAACCCCCTAATTTCAGAGTTGAGCATGTATGATGTGCAAGTTTGAGGTGAAGAAAAATGTGGATAACCTCCTTTAGCATTGCTTAATTATTTGTTCCAAGGGATCTTCAAGAGCTATTGCATTAGATGTTCATAGCTTTGTTAGTAGCTGGTGCTCCCAGGGTTGGGGTCACGAGAGGTGTACTTCATTGTAATTATTCTGCTTTACTATCCTTTATTCATTTTTGAACGACGGGAGTAGGAGGGAGGTTCTTTGATGAGTTTTTTTTTTTTTTTTTTACTCCAGTAAAATGGGTCTTTGATGAGTTGAAAGAGCAGAAGTGTGAATAATTAGATGTTCTCTTCATTCCTTTTTTATTTTTTTAAGTGTACCTCCTGTTTTAGTATATCATGGGATCCGAGTCTTGAATATTCTTAAAGCTCCGTAGTAAGTTCTATATTATAGCCTTGTACTGCAGATGGAGTTCTTTGTTTTTATATACTTAGTTTGTAATTCCAAAAAATGCTTATATGCTTTATGGAATTTCCGCACTTTAGAAGTGAACTTTTCAGAAATGATGTAAACATATTACCCATTCTGGCTGGATGACTTGCAAAAAAGTAAATCTATAACGTAGTACAATAATAGGTTGTCTAGCATGTATTGTCATGATAATTTACCTGTCATGAGTTAGACTCTTATCAGCACATATCAGTACCTATTTATATGATTAATTTAATTTTTGCAGAATAATACATTTGATTACTCATGCTAGTTACTATTCTCTCAACATAAAGAACATATCATTCTTGCTCTTTTGTTTGTAAAGATTATTTTGCTGGTTTGATGTTTTATCCATTTAATGTACCTTTTCCTTCATCAACTTAGAAAAAGTGTTGGAAATTGGACAGGAACATGTCTTGTGATTTTTAGGGGTCATTGATTGGTGTAATGGTAAATTCTTGAGCAGGAAAAATGCATGTTTGAGTCCAAAGGTCACCATTTTGAGCAACTAATGCCAAAAATTTGCCTTTTCCTTCATCAACTGAGAAGAAGTGTTAGAAAGCTTTTGGACAGAACATATTTTATGATTGTTAGGGGTCATTGATCGGAAATGGTAAAAGCTCGGTTGTCAAGCATGGAAATGCATGTTTGGGTCTAAAAGTAACCATCTTGTGCAGCTAATGCTGAGAGTTAGGTCTTTACTTGGTGCGCTCGTTCCTGTATCCTTACTATGATTACATGAAATCCAATATGTTGAGTTCATCTCAACTCTTGGAGTTTATGCTTGTAACAATTTGCTAATTATCTTCTACAATTTAAAAGATCTGAGATTCCAGGAAATGGGGCTCTTCTTGATGAACATTTTATTAGTCTTGTAAATGGTTGGACGGCGGCTAATATATGAAAATCAGGCTGTTGAGATCAGAATTATCCAGCCAATATGAATAATTTCCAAGACAGTTTGTAGGCTACAGTGTGTTTCTGACTCATCTTTTTGTTTAACAGAGTTCAGGCTAAAGAATGCTGGAAGGAGGTCGGGAAAGGCAAAGGAAGCGAAAAAAGAGAGTAAAAAGAAAGAGACACCTACAGAAAATGGAGATGAAGGCAAACAGGAAGATGGGGTTGAAAGCGATCCTGAGGAGGATGAATCTCCTGATAATAACTAAGCAAGAACATCATTTACCCACATCACAGGTAAATCGAAGAATTGGCATACTGATTTTATCTGCCATCCCGGTGTTTTAAGTTGGTAGCTTAGCATTCTACATTTTGTAAGATGTTTTTTTTAGAAAGTATGCTATCATGTAGATGCTGAATGGATCCGTAAAGGCTAGGACTGTATCGTCTTAGTTATTCAATGAAGTCAGTTTCAGTCTGATGGGATTATATTGGTTCTTGATATACTAATATCTGTGGTTTCTCAGCACTAGTGATTATTGGATCAAGGTCTTTATATTCATCCCTTTATATGCAAGACACAATCAATCGGTATCTGGAATGGTATGTAAAGCCACACAAAACAGCCATTTAATTTAGTATATGAGGGAGATTCCGAAAGATCTAGCTTAACAGTAGACACGGCAAATTTTAAAAATGAGAGGCCAGGAAATGATAACATATTGGAGAGCGTTATTGCAAGTGATTTGTTCATGATAATTGGCATCCTTTGAATCCCATATCGAATCAAAGGAAAATGCCTTTAAAGCCGAGTTGTATAGAATTCCTTGACCGGATACTCTTGGTTGGTCACTTAGGGGGGTCTCACTCCCTTATATTTTGCGATACATGACCAATTAAAACATTGGTTGGTTTTTTTGACTTTGCAATTTGATGGGCTACAATCATTAAATTTGAAAGAAATAACTTCAAATTAGGTCATTTCAAAATTATATGAGTTTCTCGTGTTTGGTATTTTAAAAATAAAAATCCATGACTCTTATAGAGACAGTTGACTCTTTAGATTTTTTATGACGTCCGTTGGAACTGAAAGCAGTACTAAAATGTGGCCGTAACAATAAGATTAGCACTCTTCACACAAATGATGCTCCTCAACCATGCCATTTCAACAGAAGCCAAACATGATTTATAAAGCGTCCAATTTTTTGGTTAGATAAAGAACCACATAATTCTTTTTCTTTCTTTCTTTCTTTCTTTCTTTCTTTTAATTTATTTTTTATTTTTTTGCTAAATACCCACATAATTCATAATATGCCCATAATTTTAATTACGCATTTGCACCTCACCAAGGAAAAAATGGACTTGAAGCATCAACATAGGCGATAAGGATTTGGAGTTGAAGATCAAATAACATAATTGAAATATGAACAGCAAGGAGAAATGAGTTACATTAGAGTCGTGTTACACTGCCAAAATACAACAATTTCATAATACCTAAAATTAGAGAAATACTGATGCATAGCCTAATATTGAATAATCTTGAGTTTCCAGTAACAAGAACCACAAGTGAGTGCTAGAAGTTCCGAAACCCCTCGTAAAAATTATAAGCATTCGAAGGAAATAATTAATACGGGCGGTACCTGTGCCCCTGCCCACCATCATTGCTGTGCCTCCCCCTGCCTGAGCTGCCACCACTCTTGCTGCCACTAGCATTGCCACCTCTGCTGCTACCTCTCTGATGTGAAGGAGGGGTGTGCGGATGTGCTCCTGGCTGTTGGCTGCAACGGAGAAATATAAATTTCAAAAAAAAATTTTAAAAAAAGGCTTCAATAATCAGGCTAATATATTTAAGTCTCCCATAAAACCGTAATAAAGTTAATAATTTTGTATTGAAATTCATTATCACATCTAAAGCTGGCAAATCTATACAGAAAAAATTAAAAAAATCTCAAGGTACCAGACAATAAAACTGGTAGACCAATCTAATGAGAAATACTTTAATGCTCCTGTTATATTTGATGAAATGGTATCACAAACTAATTATTCAATTGAAAACTAAGAAAGGTAACAACTGCCTTCACAGCTCGGACTTGGCACTGAACATGGAAAAAAAGAAAACAAAAAGTGATTACGTAAGAATTCAGTTATAAATTTAAAAATCTGACTGAATTCTGCAAAAATGTGAATCATTTTATAAAGATAGTAGCCCTTCTTCACCTCCAACTTCCGCTCTGCTGCAAACAGATATTTATGCAAGACTATTGTCTCAGATAATGGAGCAGATGCAGTAAAAAGGGGACTGTAATGACAGCACTACCAAAAAAATACAAGGCTACCTGAAAATAACCTTTTAAACCGGCTTTCGACAGTCAAATTCTGAATGTAAATATAAATAATAAAATAGGGAGATCGATTTAATTAGCGCATTTGATCACGTTTCTACAATTCAAAGGATTTCAAAAGGGAAAAAGCCATCCTTGCAAGCCACACCAGACAACCTAATTCACAATTCTTGTCAAGAAAACCTACAGTTCACACTAGGCTTACCCCTTCCAGCAGACAACCTTAGCAATATTGTGTAATTTTATTTGCTCAAAAAGTTGATGGGGAAACCAACTGGAATAGATAGGTTCATATTTATATGAAACAATTGGTCAATCCACAATTTTTTTTTTTTTTTTGAGAAGTGAATTGGTCAATCCACTTTGATTTAGTCTCTCATAGAATTGGCAGAACCTGATTTCACTAATGAATTTACTAGCCCAAACAAATATGCACTGCAAGCAGCTACTGTATGATCAGTCATGACAATATCTCTATTCTCCCCACCCATTAAGAAAAATTTATTATAGATTTTCAACCTTCCTAACCATCTTACATTAACGACCCACCCAAACCTCCCCTCAAAAATATATATATATAAAGACAAAAGGCAATCATAATAAAAATAGTGGGAAAAGCAACAAAAGCGAAAACAAACAAACAAACTACTACTACTCTACAGTGTTGTTAACCAATGGATGATTGAATGTGCTGTAATTTTGACCCCGAATAAAGCAGATATGCTTACAGGACATATCCAATCCGTCCATCAGGCAGAAGCATCGGCATCATGGCCATGCCGGCAGGAGTTGGTCCCCTCCCGTAGATCAGGGGCTGCAAGATAAGCACATAAATTCATAAGAAATCGAAAAACTAGAGAACAAATGAACATGAAATAGATTGAAGAATCTGTTATACTAGCATTTTATCACAACAGGCACATGGAGACAAAAGGGTGGGTATGCTTTTTTCCCAATCAGTGTGGGACAGCATCTCCAGTCTTTCTTCACTTCAATGACCAACGTCTCATCTCTTACTACACATAACTGATATACTTACCAAATTAGGACAATTTACCCCACATATCAACCTATTTTTCATTCCTAACAAACAAAGCTCTGGCCTATTTTTATTCCCCCACCCCCACCAAAAGAAAAAATAATAAATGAAAGAATTAAACCTTTTGAGTAGAATGAATATATTAAACCTTTTGAGTAGAATGAATATAGCTGCACAATTATCTTACAACACCTTGTGGACTTTGGAAGGTTTTAAAGAAATTAAAGACATTGAAAATATGAGAAAATCAAAGTCAGAAAAATTCATTAAACTCTCATAACATTTGCGGTGCAAATTACCAAATAACCTTTTTAAAATTTTCAGATCAGAGATATCAGTGCAGAACCATTTTCATATTCATAGACCATTGCTCAACAGAAAATTGACAACATTTAATCTTCACAATGTGTTGATTAAATACAAGACAATAAATATCATCTTGATGAGTACGAGTTAGCAAATAAAATAAAAAATAATAAATGATGAGAGACACAAATGCATGCAAGCACATAGATCACCTGAGTGAAGCCTGTGGCACCATATCCAGCACCTAGAGCACCATAACCACCGCCAACCAAACCATAACCAGCATGAGATGGATAAGTTGGAAGCAAGCCAGACTTCTGTGAATTTGATCCTCCAACAGACTTCTGCTCTGCCTGTGGCTTTGCAAGAGAACACTCCAAAAATTGGCCTGGAATTAGACCAAAACCAACCAGCATTATATTTTAGTTCTCATGCACTCATAAAAGCACGAAAAGTAGGATACAAGAGCAATGTTCACCATCTAGTTCGTATTTCTCAGTGTTTTTCAGTGCCTTCATAGCACTCGACCTCTCCGCATAGTGCACAAAACCAATTCTGTTCTTTTCCTGTCCAGACTTTGCTGGTGGCAGAACCACTTTTGTAATCTTCCCATGGTGTTCAAATAACTTCTTTAACTTGTCTTGGGTTATGTCCTTCGGCAGATTCTTCACATACACGGCCTTCACCTGTATAAACAACCTCAACCCGCTTGTTAACTAATCCAAAACTCAGAAACAAGATACCCACAATTGACTGCAATAAATACAGAGACTACCCACAACATCAATGCACTAACACACTACAACAGAGAATAACAATTAATGTGCCAAACAGGCAGATACAGTATTTGCACGGTCTCTGAGGATAGCCATGCAAGTCAATAAAGGTAATAACTTATCCTACAACCATAATATTGCATAAAAAAGACACCAATGAAATTTACCTCAATACCAGAGTGATTATTTCTTTGTGGAGATATGGCTATGAACAATGATATTACTAATAACTAACATTGGTGACCATCACATCACTCTTCTATTTGTCTCACCTCCATCTCTATGTATTTTAGTAGCTCATTCATTTTAGACTTGCTATTGAAGTTAATAATCTGCGACTTATCCGACAAGAAAATTTCATTTATAGCATACATTGATACAGTGTGAGACACTGCAATATGCATGCAGATGGACATCTTTGGTCACCAAAACAGTCTATTTCAGTTAGTTTTGAATCGAGCCTTATCCAACAGAGATACTGTTGTTTACATGTTTCTGATTCAGCGTCCAATTCAGCATATATATACACACATATATATGTATATATGCACTAGCACATAGTTTTCTTTTTCCCCTTCTGCTACCAAGTCAAGGTTTTTTGTTTGGTTTTGAGGTCACCTAATTCCGGCAAATGTGTCAGTTTCATTTTACACAATCTGTGAAATTAATAATCCAAATTAAGATGAAGATAGAAAAGAAAAAATGGGGGAGCTAAAACATCTTAAAACCTGTGAAGCTGCTGAAGCATCAGCAGTTTTAGGGTCAGCCCAGCTCACAGTAGGAGCATTATTGTCTAGCTTGAACTTTGGATTCAACATCTTCTTCCTTGAGCATTCCGCACATGCATGGTTATAATACTCAATAAAAGCAAAGCCCCTATTATTGCGTGGATTCTTCATATCCTGCAAACAAGAAATTAATAAACAATAAGTACAACCAACATAAAAGCACATTTAGGAGAAGAGCCAAAACCATTGACAATGATAAATGTACAGATTCAGAGGTTTGAAAAGGGAAAAAGTTATTAATTAATAAACTTACACCACCTAACCAACTGTAATAAGAAAATCATTATTAAACTAACCTTAACAAGTTCCACTCCAGTAACTCCAGGCCCAATCTCTATCACAGCCTTCTTTAAATCTTCTTCTCCCCAGGTCCTAGGAACATTACCAATGAACAATCGGTGCTTTGCTTGAGATGTCGAACATTTTATTCTTCTACCCTGAGAGAGATCAATTTCAGAAACGTACTTATTGGTTTTCTACACTATGGACAATTGTGCTAAAAGTTCATGAAACTCGAAAACTTAAGAAAACATGAACAACTGTAAATGCAGAAAGCAATGAGAATTTCTAGCTTCCTACTAAGCATGATTTCAATAAAAGAATTAAAGAAAACAATTTAAAATGACAAAGGAAAAAATCACCCGGTGTAAGGGATCACAGTTTATTCCCCAAAATTACTTTTTTCAGAAATTAAAAAAAAAAAAAAGAAAAAGAAAATGGACACTAGTCAAACCCTTGACTAAACCCCTCTCTTTTAAATGCCTGCCAAAACTGCATTGCTGTATTACAACAGCCTTCAGCACTACATTTTATTCATAACTTCAATTTCCAATTGCAATATTGATTGTGTTTTATGGTTTATAAACTGGGCTAAAGGCATAAATGCCCTCAAAATCAATCTGATCCCATATTCAGGGAGGCTATGTTTACCTTGAATTCGGTATTATTCAGCTCCTCAATGGCTTTGGATGCCAATTCAACAGTTCTAAAGGTCACAAAAGCAAAGCCCTTGTTCTCACTTGAATCTTTGCCTTTCATTATTCTAACCTGGCATCACAAGAATATGATAACATTAGTCTTCAGAAAGAGCTCATGTACATAGTAGTTCTATAAGCAGCAGTAGAGCTTACCTCTGTGACTTCTCCTATAGATTTGCAAAAGCTCCTCAAATCTTCCTCAGAAGTATCTTGAGGAATGCTACCTATATATACTTCAGATCCATGAGGAGGAAGGGCAAGAAGTTCGGCATATCTTTTTCTCTCATCCTCGTCCTCAACCTTTGTGTCATAACCACCGGGGCCTTTTTCAGAATCAGCAATATCAGCCTCTTCTTCCTCTTCTTCTTCAATCTCCTCTTCTTCCACATCTTCCTCTTCTTCTATTTCTTCCATTTCTTCCATTTCCTCTTCTTCCTCTACCTCTTCATATTCAACCTCTTCATCCAGCACCTCCTCATGATCATTATCTCCATCAAGATCCACCCTCTCATCAGAATCATTTAACTTTTCAGGTTCAACTGGCTTGGGGGCTGCTGATGCATTTTCCTTTGCCCTTGGCATCTTATGTATTTAATTAAATAAGCTTGCAAGGCAACTGTGAAGAAGGCACAGAAGCCAGAAGATTTCATGGAAGGAAGAATAAAGATATCGAAAGGTGAAAAGAAAATGAAAGGGCAAAAGGAGTTGCAGGGTATAATTATTTGAACCCTCATCATGAGATATGACTCCAAGGGGTTACAATGTGATAATATCAGTTCTAATAGAGACAACAAAAAGAGAATCTCGAATGATAATCAAGAGGAACATGAAGCTGGTGCATTAAATTGAGAATTGTTTTTTGAAAAAGAATGTATTGAACAAAAGAATACTACAAATTAAATTTCTAGTTATCTTAACTGTGGAAGGAGGCATACATCCCCCACATATATGTCAGAATAAAGGAGAAGTAGCATTTGCGAATCAAGAAATTAAATCATAGATAAAAGATAATCATAAAAGCAGAGAACTGTAGAGCATTCAGAACCATTTAGATATAACATGAATGAGATTGCTGCAACAGAGATTCAAGCCACAAATTGTCCTATCTCACAAAAATAATACCAGTTCCAAATAAACGTACCAATCTGTGCACCTTCCTGCGAAAACAGGACAAACAAAAAATGAGATCCAAATCGAAATTATAAAACTATCATGCCCAAACTTTACAGAAGTTTTTTTTTTAGTCCTAACTTTACAGAAGAATTCAAGAATGTATCAAAAGAAGATGCCTTTTTCACAGTCAAGATAGTTTCAAAAAAAAATTTGCTTTCTTTCTGACAAAAGAGTCTAGAAAGACATAATATTTTTTTCTCAATAGAATAACAAATTAAAGAGACTCAATAAGTAAACATACACAAATTTGTTAAACAGAGGAAAAAGACTATTTCAAAAATTATGAAAACAAGAAAAGAAGATAAATTGATAATAGATTAAAACAAAAATAAAAAATAAAAATTTTCATTTTGAATTCATGGAAGTGTAACTCTGAAGTACTTCTTTTCCTTATTCTTTTTTGATGAATATAGAACCCTTAATCTGAATTACAAATATAATTTTCAATCACCAGCATGGGATGATTTACAATCAATTGAATGAAATCAAAAATGAGAAATCTATGCTTGTGAGGAATTATATCACATTTTTCCTAATATAAATATTATCTACTAAATTTTTATTACATATTCCTTTTGAAGCAAAATTCTTAATGTTATATAAAGTAATGCTAAGCTCAATTACTCAGTAGCATGTTTAATCATCCATGAAAAATGCACTACAGTCACTTAAACGAGGGCAACGAGAGGGAAGTCCGTGTTTTGAGGAAACTGTATCCCGTATCCTTTCCTCTTCGGCTCTTCCGCTCCCATCTCCCATCTCCATTTTGATTGCAATAAGATGGGTTTCTGATGAAAACGCTCCAAGTATACCCATCTACATCAAAACTCAGCGCCGCCAACCTGACACAAGTAGTAGCCTAAACCTGACTCAGATCTAAAAACTTAATGTAGAATACAAGTCTAATCAAATAATAGTTGTCCCAACTATGTCCGGGAAAAGGCAGGCCGGCCAATTTTACAATTATGTTAGTCTACAAGCATCCCAGTATCCCCCACCCCTATAAAAGCTATTCAAGCAATTGATAAAAAAAAAAAATAATAAAATAAAATAAAATAAATAAAACCTCACAATATAAAGTTGAAACTTTACATACCAAGAATCAACTAGTATTACTCCTCACCAACAAGACAACTCCTCTCAATTTTTGCAATAAATAGTGCTGACACCATCTTCAGAAATAAATGTGTAACTCCAAATGAAATGGAAAAAGAAAGCAGAATGCATGCCTCTTTTTCTCATCATTATGCTTGCCTTTATCCCATATGCATGTCCTCTTTTTCCCAATACCTTTGTTTGTGATATTCGAAATCTAAAACCGCCTCAAACGCATCCTAAGTACTTTACCATCATTGTGGACATTGATTTATTCCTTCCGCAGAGATTTTTACGAGCAATCACGCCTTGACAAATTATACCCAAATCACTAAACTTAATTTTCTAATTCAAAAGATTTGACGCTCACCATATTACGCATCAAAAATATTAGTCATTTAAATCAAACAAGCCGCGCAAAATTAAAAGCAGAGAATTAAAGCCCTACTAAAATCCAGGTAAACTACCCTCAAAATGCCTGAACAAACCGGAAATTTACATAAAGTACGATATCGATTGATAACCAGAAATAATAGAGTATCTGAAAACCAAAACAACATGAAAGGGTGCAGAAGGCTCTATATATACAATAAACACACAATATATATATATATATAGGGGGGAGAGAGAGGGAGAGGGAGAGAGAGAGAAAGTACCAAAACAGCTATCTGCAGAGTGTTTCTTCGAAGTTTTGAGCAGCGAATTTGAAACCTATTTGCGCAAGGCGCGAGGAAAACTTTCTTGCGGGAGCAAATGGTTTTGTTTCTACGATCTCACACTACAAAAAACGCAGCTAACACTTGGTGATAGAGGAAATAGACATTAATTACAGTTTTGACCATCCTTCGGGTTTATTATACGGTGTTAATTATCTTCCAAAATTCAAGAGATGATGATGACCTACTGTGGTCGGGTCGGGTTTGGGGATTAAAGCATCATACCATCATTGAGTGGGTGCAAAGTTTATATTTCTTTTGTTCCAAAATAATTGAGTGTTTTGAGAATTGTAGCTCACAGAAATACGAAATATATATGTATGTATATTTTTTTTAAACAACCAAAGTAACTCTAAATTAATGGAAACATTTGATTTTTTTTTTTTTTTTTGATATGAAACCACATAGTCAAAAAAATTAATGATTATAGCTGTTAAATTTTATTTTATTTAAAAACAATTATATCTTAAAATCATTTAGGATTACATTAATGTATCAACCGCTCAAACTTGACTCGAACACAAAGCAATATCATGGTGTTTGAAATGGATTATTTTTATTATCTAAAATATATATGTAGTGGTATTATTATCATTTTGTTTTAATGAGAATGACTGAATGAGGTGGGGCGCCAAAGTATTTATTTGAAGCACCAATATCACCTCCCCAATAATTAAACATCTAAAGATTTAAAATACATGAAATAAGAGAGGACATAGGCTGGCACTCTCAAGGGTTGAAAAAGAGTCTCTTGAAATAAAAATATATATATATAAAACAATTACAAATATATATATATATATAAATTACACTTAAACATCAATAGACAGCCACGTGGATTCCAATTCAAAAACAGTTTTGAGTCTTGAAAAGAAGCATGACTTCTTAAAAACAATAAAGAAACTATGCAATTTATTCTCAAGCAATTTAAAAATAAAATAAAAAAACAAAGATATAAACAGTAGCACCCCTCTTAGCAAAGTCTAAGTCACCTATGTTAATGTTCTAGCCAAAACAAAGGGCAGTTATCAATGCCCACAATATTGTTTTAAAAAAATAAAAAATAACAAAAAATCATGTGCTTGAGAGTAAGCTCTGTATCATTTGTAATACAGGGGGGCTCACACGATTCCTTTCTGAATATGGAAACTCAAACTTCAATGGCCAAACAACTCCAAGTAGTTCGTTATCGTTATCGTTATCGACACTTTGCTCATTCATTGTCCATTTTAAGGACCCCTTGTAAATGTGTGTGATTGAGATCTGGTATCAGTCTCTTATTTAATATATTCCAAGACACTCTGACTGACCTCCTCAAGGAAGGAAACAAAACCCATGACGCTTGTGAAGCCACTTCCATCAACATCCTGTTCCTCAATCAGATAGTTCTCGAATGCCGTGGCATCGTCCTGGCCTCCCCGGATAAATATGAGTTTGGGAGTGATACTTCTCTCTTGCTTCAGTTTGTTTATTGTCGTCCTCAATAAACCTAAAGGAGAATATGTTTGTCTTAGCAAGACGAGCAAAACCATTATTTTAAACCTTCATAACCATTCCACTAAAACAGCAAGAAATGAAGAAAGGTGACTTACAGTCATGGGGTGGAGGGAAAGGAAGGGTAGGGTCAGCTGTAGAAGAATAAAACACAATGAGAGTTGTGAATGCATCGAGGAAAAATATTGGACTACCGCTCGTTATCAATGCAGCACGACTCAAAGAATGGCGCGGAAATGCTTGTTTATCCGGAGTGGCATATGATGTCAATAGTGGATATACAGCACGGTGAAGAGAACTTGGTTCCATTGCACTGCATTACAAGTTCCAGAAAAACAACTTGTACAGTTAATTTCATGTAAAGACATTGATAGATAAGACAAGTTCCAACATCAATAGAACATAATTTGTCTAAAGAAATATAAAAGCTACAAAATACGGCAAAACTCCCACAATAAATACAATGATGTGCAAGGAGTGGTTTGGGTCTTCACAAAAATATTTCAGTATTTGAGGAAACCGAGTACGGACTAAATGGGGCCCCAATCCATGGCTGTCCGATAATAGAAAACTACTATAAAAATATATATCGCGTTTCATCTGCTCACCACCATCCAACCTTTCCAATTTTCAGTTGCATATCAATGACAATAGGTTGCCAATAATTTGGGAACATATTTTGCAGATAGGAGACAAAGTCGAACAGCTCAGCAAGTTTACACAGCATGATGGTGTGAGAAGATTATATGTCAGATTTCAGGTAGACAACTGATTGAGTTTTAAGATAGTAAGTTTACAAAACAAATCCTAGTCCAATATATGTATTTATATATTTTAAAAGCTTCATGATCTTTTGCATCATAAAGAATCATGGAGCAATTTGTTCCAAGTTGCAACTTATCCATTATTTGATTTTGATAGTCAGAGTTGAACTGATCACACCTAGATAGTTTTAAACAGTATGAGTTCACATGCAGATAGCCATTGTGCCATCCATATATGAATATCACATACCTGAATAGGCATTGAAGGTATATCCGGTAGTCAGGGTGAACACCTTCTTCATGGAACCGGAGGAGAGGATTTCGAAGCAAAGCAAAAACTAAGCGAGGTAAAAGCTGCAGTTGAGGACATTGCGAGAATGCAACATCAATTTGAGCAGTAGCTGAACTTCCTTGTCCAAACTGAACAAGTTTACAACCTTCATTATACTGAGCTGCGAGGATTACTAGCCAATCATGCAGCAACATCCTGCCCTCCCGAACTCCTTGCTCCAATGAGGCCAATATGACCTAGGGAATGAAAAGTATACAAGAACAATCAGTGAGAGTGTAAAGTGATAGGAGAGGTGTAAACTGAGTTATGTTGTCATTAACCACTTGCAAAGGTAGGTAGTTCAATAAAGAGCTAAAACTCCTCGTTAACAAACTATAGTTTTTCAAACCAGGCCAGACATACATAATTTTTATTGGTTCCACAGGACACGGATCAGCAAACACTTGTCCAGCAGAGGGTAACACTTAATCCAAATCAAGGAACAGATAACATATTTAACCTGGAACCAGTAATTCAACCATCATGTCACTTCTCCTATGGATCAAGAACAATTTCTTTCATGAGGCCATTGAGACATCATAAAGTGATATTTCTATCCTACTTTCTAATTTATTTCTTTATGGATTTCATAGTCATATAATATAATGTATCATAAAGTGATATTTCTATCCTACTTATTTTTCGTAATCTGTGTCTTGTTGTGTATATAAACTGTATCCGTGTCCATGTTTCTTAGCGTAAATGTGTCATTCCCATAGAGAATTCTTGACGCATTTCACACCACTCGTAGCATCCCATGAAATAAACAGGCACAAAATGAAATAGGTACATCAAAAGGGTGACTTCCTTTCTTTTCATTGCACAAAGCATATTTCATGTATCGAGAAGAGCGATTATCATAGCCATATAAAATTCAGCAGGGGAACAAAAATTAACCTTGTGAACAAGTATTGATAGAACCACTTCAGGATCAACACTGTCATAAAGTTCATTAATACTTTGAGCAGTTATACACTGCAGAGTCCGAATCCTTAATCTTCTTTTGAGAGAATAATTGGTCCTGCAAAAATATGTAGCACGTCAACCAAATAATTAGAGCTCTATATAGTTCACTTAAAAATAAATTTTATTACAGCTCTATATAGTTCACTTAAAATAAAATTTATACTCAACCAGAAAACTTGAAGAACAACAGAAGAAATATAAACGTGTCGTGGGCAAGGTGGATATGTAAGACATACATTCTGAAACAAGATTCATTGAACTAACAATATTTCTGAAACATATTTGTACAAGCCCTATATCTATTTCGTTGAAGAAATGCACGGTTTCCTAAAAGAAGAAGAACATTAGCAGAATGAAGCATAGTTACATATTGTCTTCCAGATGTCAGGTAAACAATAAGTAACTATAGAGGAAGGTGTTAAAATTGAAAGCTTTCCGTCTAAAACTCTAAGACGTACAGTAACCAAAAAGAAAAGTAAAAAGAAGTCGCACTTGTCAAAAAAAAAAAAAAAGAACTCGCAGAGGCCTCAACTCTATTTAAAATTTCCCGTCCTCAAATAATTTCTTCAATATGACAAGGGAAAAAGATATTAATTTCTTTATTTCTAATCGATTAACAATCTTGAGTATTGACTGATGTCAAGAAGCAACGCTGAAAAGCTACAGCTAAATTAGATCTTGCATGGAAAAACGCAATATAGGAAATAACAAAAAAGAACCACATACAAATTATTTACTGAAGTTTGAAAAGACATCCAGTAACCAAGGATACAAAAAAGTAGAGTGAAGGCAAATAATTTTTATTTATCCTTTTTTCTACATTTTAAGGTAAAGATGGTGTTAAAGCACAAGCTAAGACATGAACCTCGGATCTTCAGTACAGCCCTCCAAAAGATTTTATTCACTACATAGTAGGCATACAAGAAGCTATGACACACTATTGTGGATGACTTCATTGTAAGTCGATGGCTCTAAAGCTGAAGAATGTCTATCGAGCTGATAAGAACGACAAACATATGCTATAAAGAAGGATATATACCTGCTTATTAAAAATAGTCAAGACCGCATCTACTATTTCTTTCTTTTTCTTCTTCTTTTTTATTTTTCCTTTTCTTTTTTTTTTTTTTTTTTCTTTTTTTTTCTTTTTCTGCTTTTCCAATAATGTGTTTTTGCCTGGCACTCCCCCAGGTCCAGCATCACAAAAGGACAACTCCAGAATTGGCAGTGGAGGCCATGCTTTATTTCAACATCACATTTATGATTCCTCTCTTCCATTAACAACTAAAATTCTAAAGCCATGCAGCCATGCTCTTTGCTCGCAGAATTTACCACCCAGATGATTACGGAGCCAACATGTTTCTATCATCTTCCATTAAAAAATATATAAAGATGCTATTCAAAATTCGATTCTCCAAAGAAACATCAAACATGGGTATTCATGTTTAATAGTGCTGCTTAAACATTAGAAGCAGATCTACTTTGAGAGGTAATTTATTTATTTTTTTCACATTGATGATACAATTACTACATAAATACCATTTTTTAGGTACATTTTACTTGGTACAAGAGACAATATAACTATGGTGGGGCCAAGGAATAAGGGCATCACACTCAAACAAAGTTTATTGGAAGCAACCACAACACACACAGCCAATGAATAGAATTTCTTTTAGTGAAAGTTGTAAGATTCAATTCTCAATCATAAATGTTATAGATGGTGCATACAAATTTAAGCATTATGACCAGAAATTTTTTGTATTGTCATTTTTTTAAACTAACCATACCTACTTGCAGAACTTGATCTTGAATCCGAAAGTTCCTCGGGGGGCACAACAACTGTATACTGAAATGCAATCTGTAGCATGGGAGGTTCTGAAGTATGTCTGCAAACACATAACCAATGTCACAGAAGTTATAATTTACTACAGATCATAGAAAGCACATCATATGGTATTCGTGTGATACGTAAGACAAACTGATCAGAAATAAAGAGCAATGCAAATTGCGGAGAAGGAAATCATTGACACAGAGATAAAATGTCCATGCAACCACAAGAAAAATATCAAAATAAGGATAAAAAATTACAAGCGCAATGAAATATAATACAATAACCGGTAAATAGAATAATATTTGAAAGAATACTTCTCCCAGCTGGTATACAAATGCTAAGTTTATCGAGTTCCAAATGCAACTTCTATGATTACAGCACAAGGATAGACAATTTGAACAGGACCACCTCCTCCCT